CGACTAGTTTGAAACTCGGCTGGTAACACACGGCACGAAAATACATACGGGCTGCCGCCGGGCGACGAGAAGGGAAATGATTCCTAATGCAAATGTGTCGCTGATTATTGATCGAACGAATGCACGGCAGATTACGGGTGGGCCACAAATGAATATGCTGAGGGGTGCCTTTTGCACTCTGGGTCGGTCATCACAAAAATGTATCAGACAGATATGACTCTGATCTCCCAAGACCTTTTCGTTGTCTCTTACTTTCTCCTGAGCAGCGACGTCGGCACGGACTCGCGTTACAATGAGTCTTACATACCGTATAAGACCTATCAACTCTAGTCCGATTCTTACAATGAATGCCATATGGAAATAGCTTACCATACAAATAATAACATAATCCCCACACCAACGTTTCACTTAATGCTTTCTTTTAAATAAGCATAGATCAGAAATCGAAGGAAAACCGAAACGCTCCGCAAAACGGCTTGCAGCATGGCCAAGCATAACAGTTCGGGAACCTATCCACCAGTAAGGCGACCCAGTCTCAATGGGGCTGCGAAGAGATGGGATTACCCCGCGTGCACAACCCACAGAACGTTATCAGTGAGGTCACACTCCGCAGAAATTGCGCCATCATCTGGAGCCACCACGGTATCAATTCCTACCATCAACAAAGGCCGCTACAAAATGGAACCAATAATGCCAAACATAAATGGTATGATTTCAATATTCGGGCCGATACTTCACGCCACACTACGCATGAACAATAAGAACCGACACGTTAGTGCAACACATAAACACGGATTATGTAAGCAGAACAAATTTGTAAGTACTTCGTCCTACTCCTTCGTAAGTATATCTTCGTGCAAGTAAATGTCACATGCATACAACGCAATACTTATTACACCACCAGGCATGCGTTCGGTTCGTTCAGCCTGAAGAAGCCCACAACTACCGACGATTAAACAGCGCGTTGTTGGTATGCGTGCAATGGACGGGAAACGACGGGCGTCCGGGCCGCTTTCCGTCGCAATCCGCCACTGTCCATCGCGCACCGGCCGACGGGCAGAGCGCCCCTCTCCGGGCGCCGGCCACGATGGCGTCAGAGGTCACGCCGGCCGCGCCCGAATTAGCCCCCTGTTTCCCCATCGGGGCGGCGGGGGCGCGAGCCTGAGGCCACCGTGGGCCGCGACCGACGACAATGGGTGTCGGAGCGTCACGCCCGCCCGCGGCCTTTCACCGGTTAAAACGGGCGGCGCCCCGGCGGCCGGCGCCACAACCACCGGACGGCAGCAAGCATGCGGCGCAACCTCCCTCCTCGTGCTGACGGCGGCGCTGCCTGCTGGCGACGTTCGGCCGGCCGGCCGACGCATACCGCCGGCGCGACTACACCAGCCGCTACGGCGGTCGGGCGGCGGCGGCGGCGGCCGGCGCGGGCCAGGACGAGCCCGAGTCGCGCCGCCAGCAAACGGCTCTTCAACCATTCCCGCTGTTCACGCTGGTGAAGATCGACAACTTCGTGTGTGCGGCGAGCAGCGGCACACGGCACGTGCTACACGGCGCAGGAGTGCGACCAGCTGGGCGGCGTGGCGTCCGGCAGCTGCGCGCAGGACTACGGCGTCTGCTGCGTCTTCACCAAGACGTGCGGCGAGACAACCAGCATCAATAACACGTACTTCTTCAACCGCGGCCAACCCGGGCTCCTGCGACGCACGGGCAGCTGCCAGCTGACGGTGCACAAGCTGCACGACAACATCTGCCAACTGCGGCTGGACTTCGACTCGTTCGTCATCGGGCAGCCACGAGGACCGAGAACCACCTGTGCCAGAACGACCAGTTCACAGTGAGCGGCGGCTCGCCGGTGCCCACCATCTGCGGCATCAACACCGGCAACCACATGTACATCGACGCCGCACGGCCAGCAGCCACACGCCATCACGCTGTCGGTCGTCACCACCGGCAGCAGCTTCAGCCGCAGCTGGAAGGTGCGCGTCTCGCAGATCCCGTGCAACACCCTCTACACGGCCGAGAACAGCTGCCTGCAGTACTCACCCGGCATCCAGGGCGCCATTAAGTCATACAACTTTGACTTCCAGAACGGTGCGCAGCTCTCCAACCAGGACTACACCACCTGCATCCGCATGGAGCGCAACTTCTGCGGCATCCAGTACACACCGTGCGGCGAGCCGGGCACCACCCGCCAGATGGCTTTTCAGCTCAACGGCTCGCCCGAGAGCTCCGTCACGTCACAGACGGGTCAGAATTGCGACAAGGACTGGATCATCATCCCCTGCGCCACAGACAACGTCAACCAGCCGCTGACACGCATGAGCGACGAGAACGTGTGTGTGGACCGACTGTGCGGCGATAAATTCAACGCCGTGGAAGGCACCAACACGTCCGACGCCGTGTACAGCTTCATGAAGCCATTCCGTCTGTACTACCACACGGACGCGCAGGAGGCCGACTCGGAGACGGCCGAGAGCGGCAACCCGGCTTCTGTCTCAACTACGTGCAGCAGCCCTGCACGGCCAGTGAACCGGTCGCGGCGGACCGGAGCGGTCGCGGGAGAGCGGGCCGCAGCAGCCCGCCGGGCGCCCACGCTCTCATTGTCACGGACGAGGATGGGGGCCCGGCGTCCGATGTGGTGATGTGACAGACGGGATGGGGGCCCAGCGTCCGATGTGGTGAGGTGACAGACGGGGGAGCGGACTCGGGGGTCCGATGTGGTGAGGTGACAGACGGGCATGGGGGCCAATGCGTCCGATGTGGTGATGTGACAGACGGGATGGGGGCCCAGCGTCCGATGTGGTGAGGTGACAGACGGGGGAGCGGACTCGGGTCCGATTGGTGAGGTGACGACGGGATGGGGGCCCAGCGTCCCGATGTGGTGGAGGTGACAGACGGGGAGCGGACCCGGGGTCCGATGGTGTGAGGTGACAGACGGGATGGGGGCCCAGCGTCCGATGTGGTGAGGTGACAGACGGATGGGGACCGGCGTCCGATGTGGTGAGGTGACAGACGGGAATAGGGGCCCATCGTCCACGTGGTGGGATGACACATGGCTCTGGAGAAAGACGACGACTGGTTTCAAATTTGGTTTGAAAAGGAGGGTAAGCTGCCGGTAATTCACCGTCTTGATTCCTTAGTGCGCTAAAACGTATGCTCCTTCAGGTCCCAACAAACTGCTCCTACCACTGTGCTCATATCAATTCGATAGGAAGCGCACGCCTGAGTGCCCCTCCGTTTGACATTGGTTGCATGTCTATGTTTCGCGATATTGCTTGTTGTTTTGTTGTTGCTTGATGAGTTAATTGAAAAATAAACATGCGTGTCCGCCGAGGACTGGTCGACGTTACTTTTCAGCTGTTTCCAACTCTCTTTGCATTGTTAACAGTCCATGTGTTAAAATCCTTAAGTTAACGTACATATCTAAAACCCCAATCCAGTGCATACTTACACATTTTTTGGCAAATATGACCGGACATGTTCACAGGCCAATAACTCCACAGAGCGCAAAACATCGAGTCCCCGGCAACACCCGTAAGTGCCCATACCCCGCCACGCCCCGGCTCCCGGGCCGCCGCGGCGGGCAGACCCCGTTCTCGGCCGCCGCCGCGGGCCAGACACCCCGTTCTCAGCCGCCGCCGCGGGCCAGACCCTCACTCTCGGCCGCCGCCGCCGCGGGCCAGACCCCCCCTCTCGGCCGCCGCCGCAGGCCAGACCCCGCTCTCGGCCGCCGCCGCGGGCCAGACCACACCTCTCGCCCGCCGCCGCAGGCCAGAACCCCGTCCTCGGTCGCCACCGCGGCCAGACCCCACTCTCGGCCGCCGCCGCGCGCCATACCCCGTCCTCGGTCCCACCGCGGCCAGACCCCACTCCCGGCCGCCGCCGCGGGCCAGACCCACCTCTCGGCCGCCGCCGCAGGTCAGACCCACCTCTCCATGAGCCGACAGTCGCCTGCCAGTCATCCCCGAGCAGGACGGTCGAGTCGGCGCCGAGCTGGCGGCGCGAACGCAGCTCGGCCTGCAGCGGGTCGGTGGCCGGGGTTGGCGGCAGCGGCGGGGCGATCACGCCCGCGCTCCGCCCGCCGCCCGCCAGGCACTGCTCCAGGTACTCGAGATCCTCGTACTGGCGCCCTATCACCCAGCTGCTCTGCGGCGCGCTGCCGTCCTGCGGGTGAGACGCGATGCCATCAGCGGGGCCTCCGGGCGGGCGGCGCTCCGGCCGGCGCAGGTGGGAGGTGGCGCGCCACCGCCCGGCGGATGCCGCATAACACGTATGGGCGGCGTCGGCCGTGCATCGCACCTGCACATGGGCCACAGCGCCACGACGTCAATGAGTCCGGTGGTGGGACCCCGACCACTCCCGCGCGCTGGCGGCCATTTAGGGCACAGTGCAGCTGTCGGTCGCACTAACCACCACCGTTGGAGACACCGTGATAAGGTGTGGCTGCTGCAGACACCGGCCTCCACCAGTCCACTCAGTGACGCTACACACAGGGTGCCACCCGGCGATGTGGGGTCACCGATCATTCCCGTCGGCCCGTCACGCAGACCGCATGACTATGGCAGCAGCTGACTGCGCGGCGACACGCGGGGTGGGTAGCTGTGCACCCACACCCGATACCGCCCGGCCGTGTCCGGTTACGAGAGCGCGACATGCGAGTTATTCAGATAGATCCGGCACGGGGCGTGTCAGTATTACGCGCTCCGACACTCGACTTCACCGCCTTGCGAAGACACTGGTGAATAGAAGGCCGACTGGCAAACTATGCACTCTCATAAGGCCAAAGGGATTCCGGGCAAAGTTGGCGCAGCACCCAGCGCGTGCGATATCTCGACGATCACAGCCACGACGCGCTGCAATCGCCGCGTCCGAATACATTAGTGGAATTGCACGGGAATACGTCCAACGTAGCATTGGACACCTCAGTGGTGCCGTACACCCAGACGCTAGCCTGAAGAATATCAAGACTGCCTGGAATCAGCAGCACCTCTTACCTTGGTCACCTCGATCTGGTAGTTGATGATATCGCCATTTTTCGTGACCTGGTCGGTGAAGCGGACCTTGTAGAACGGCCGCAACGGGGAGAGCGGTTCCGGGCTGGAGGCGTCAGAGCTATCCGCCCCCTCTTCCGTCTCCTCCCGCACGTCCTCCGTCTTGCACCGGTCCATCTGACCGCAGGCGCGGTGTGAGACCGACAACGTTTGGTGCGTGGTATTCGTGACTCAGTGAATTTTAAAAAGTTTCAAAAATGACATGGGAAACCTTATGACTGACACAGATGGATGTGTAAACAGAGTTTGCTAAGAGTGAGTTGATGGTATTAGCTGACAACAGCCAGGTAAATATGTCTATCTAGGCAGCACACAGCTATTAAACAACAAGTTCAGCCTGCTGATAACCTCGGAGAATTGTCCGAAATGTTGGAAATTTCCCTGAATGGCTTTCGGCACTTCAATCACGAAGACTTTCCACAGATAATCATCCATACCAAGGAAAAAATCCCAGAAAATTTTAGAGTATGATCAAAACAGAGAAGATTTTTATTTGCTTTCCATGACTATCACCATTGGCTGTGCATGGTGCCATGGAGTCGAAGCTGGGGAATAATTTTCAGATCTGCCAAACATAAATCAAGGGTCTCTGTGGAAGATTATTAGAGAGATAATTATTCAGTGAATAATTTTTCCACTGCTGAACACGTCCTAAATATTCCAGTGAACAGAAGCACTTGGAAAACATCTTGCACATATTGACATACCATGGACATCATTGTTGTGTACTGAGAGAGCTATAATGTGACAACTGATTAAAATAAGATGCCAGAGTTTGCAACATACTTTAGTCAGAAGATTCCAGCGACAGAATACACAACAAAGCTTGAAACAGTTTTAAACAATATGTCGCTGCTTGAGGTGCCAATAGCCAATGGTGTCAAAGGTACCTTTTCGGACCCAGAGTCTGTGATGATGGCTTCCGCAGTTGGCTGGTTTCTAGGCTTAAAGATGTCATCATCACTGATATCTCTCGGCACTTTCTTTTGCAGTGGTGTGGTTATAGCTGGGTCTGTGGTAGCCTCCATCATTGTGAGGCTTATGGTAATGCAAACCTGAAATGAGTTATTCATTATTTTCAGTCAATATATACAAGATATACTAGCTGGCTAGCTTTGCTTCAACATCCCATTTTGTAGAATGTGACAAATCTATCTAAAACCTATAACATGTAATGACCTTAGTAATGTTTTAAAATATTGCTGTGATGAAATCACTGATCTCATCAAATATATGAACACTCCATTAATAACTATTTTCTTGAACATCCATTGGCACCCCCAAACATTTACTAATGGGCATTCGGCATAGTAGAAACAATGTGCTAATACTTCAATATCTGAATAGTACAGATACACAATACATGTTCAACACTTATCCATTCTTGTAAGGCACACAATCAAATTCACTGAAACTTGCATACCTACAGCTGTGTTCCATGTTGTGATCCCAGAAGTATGCTACCTAATTGGCTTTGTCAAGACTTGCAGTAAAATACCAACTCTTTGACAGATATGTCTATCTTGGATTTGAAATGGTTGCTCCATTGAGCAGAGCAAAACAGAACTTTGCCTGCATGTGCCATTATGTGTTTATTGTAACCAGTCATAGCATGTATGTTGTTTATGGTCTGTTTGATAAGATTTTTTAAGATTTGTTCCAAACCCTTTGAATGGATGGATTTCCGGGATCAGAGCTCACGCTAAGCAGTGCTTGTTGTGTGAGCCCTGACTCCTACCATCCGATCGCGCAATTCCATGTCAACGGCAGAATTTTGTGGCGAAAGCTTAATGTGCCGCAATGCTCGGCACAGTCCGTCCTGCCCTCTGACGTCAACTGACCTTTAGCGCGACCGCTGCCACCGGCCCCAGGCCATACCTGTCAAGGGCAAATAGCGAGGGCCCTAAAGCGACTCGAACCCACCCGGCCATGGGTGGGTGGATTGGAAGGCAGGCGCTCTAACCAACTGAGCCACCGGGACGGACAAAGATTGTTTTAAAACACACCCACATATGCAAACAAATTGAAAAAAACAGACTGAGTATTTGTAATGCCCTCCTCCCATTGCTGTAATGAGCAATACAACTCTTGAACAAAAGCCAGACTTGAGCACAACCTCAAGTATGTTGATTTGACAAAACCTTTCCAAAAAAGCCATCAATGCAATTTACTCCCCTTTACCTCACATGAAATATCCTTAAGCAGAGCACAATCTTAATAGCTCCTGTCCAATTTTGTCTATCTGCTATTTGGTAAGTATAGCATGCATACCTACATGCCTTCATCTATATAAGGCTGATGGTTGTCATTCTATATTTCAGCATAAAAAGTGCTACAATACCCTTATCCTTCACTGTGATACCACATCCACCAACCATGGGACACCGGCAAAATTGGGCACTAAATGGCCAAGTATGCCAGAGGCCCACACCAGTAACAATGGAATCACTCTAAATTGCAATGCATTTGGTTCAGCACCTTGACTTTTGGTGCACAGGCCATCCAAATGTTATGCTAAGCCTGATGCCAGGGACAGCATTTTAAAGGAGGGTAACTGAAGGGTGAGGGAGGAGGTTTCAGACAGCATAACACCATGCTCAGATAGAGTTGCACATAATACCACAATACAAATAAAGTATTTCCAAACATTAAGCCTGCATACTGTTGGCTTTCACATCTGACAAGCAGCATGCCCACCTTTCTTTCACATCTGTAGCGCAGCTGGGGGCTATACAAATGTTAGCTGTAAGGGACGTTACACTAACACAGCATAAACCGAGTGGGAGGGCGATCTTTGCCCAGCGTCACCAGTGTATAACAGGGGAAAGGCGGGATCGAAAATATGGAAAATGTATAGCGTATCTTTTGGAATACTTCTCATAATCAAAGCCCACAAACGTGGAGAAATTGTAAGAAAACACGCTACTACCTTATACCTTTAAACGTTTGTTGTAACCTCTGACTCCTGCAGCCCAGACCCGCTTCGCTGCGGTTGTTGACTGGGGCAAGGACCGCTGCTGCCAAGACCGTAGTAGTTTGTAAGTAGTAGAAAAAGTCATCGCGCACTGCTCCCCAGCGTCATGTTCGGCGCAGCTGCGCCACGGGAATGCACAAACAATATAAAAGAAGGATAATTATATTTTATTGAAGTACTATGTACCAGGGATGTTTCATAGTGCTTGAAAAATACAGTTGCTATTAGAATGCATAACGCAGTGTTTCGCATCTTTTGAAACAAAAACTGCATATTCCAGCTTCAAGAACCAGAAACATGAAATCCATCACTAAGAAGGAGGTCAATGCAGCGCAGCTCTGACAAAAAAGGCCGCCGTCGCTTGGCCCGAGGCTATGGCCGGTGAGCCTCGGGCGGGCCGTAACGGTTTTGCACATTTTTGTAGGCAGGCAGGCTTTGAAGTGATGATATATGCGCTGTGGGAAATGTGACATGTGTTGAGTGCTTCATTTCAATGCATAGAGAGTGCTGGGCTTCTGCTTTGATGCTTCCCAGTTTTGGGCAGGTCCAGTCCTTTTCCAAATGGCACAGCCAACTCCTCTGTTTTGGGGCAGGGGCTGGTGGTAATTGACCAAGAGGTGGGGTGTCTCCAGTACCATCCTGACAATCTTATTTGCCTCTACTGACTGCTTATTACCCCCACTGCTATGCTCAATATGAATTGATCAATTAATTTGCACACTAAGCTAGTTATTTAGCATTTTGCACAGTACATTAACAAATCTAAAATATTTAAAAAATGTATCAAACATCTCACAATACAAACAAGAAAATCTTATTGTCAGAGCAGCAACACTAAAACTGGCTTTTCTGGAGTGGCATCGATTTGTGGCATGTTCTCTTGATCAGCACAAGCAGTGCAAACTGGTGCAAACTTCTGCTTTTGTGCAATGATTTTTGTGTGAGAGCTTCAACATAATGATGGCTTTCTGGCTGCATGGCTGCTGCAGGCAGCCACATCTAAGACTGAAAAGAGTAATATTGCTCACTTGGACACTTGAATGAATATCTGTTGCTGAAAAATGAAAGATTAACCATTTATGGTGTGCATTTGTGTATGTGTCAATGTATACATCTCATGAATCTAACACAAAAATGTCCTGGGGTGAGACATTGAAATTATATTTTGTATAAGTTAGGTCTTAGCTTGATTGTATAATTGTAATGTAAGGTTAAGTATGCAAAGTAAGTTCATTATGCTTTTATTGCATCTAATGTAAAGTTATGTTATTGCTAATTATTCTAATGCTTATTGCTTTTTACTTTCAGGAATATACATATATACCTGAAGAACTGCAAGCCATGGCTGAGCAGGGTGATACCGTAGCAGGCAGCTCACCTGTTGTTAAGGTGAGCACTTCCCTTCAAGGAACATACCTTTTCATTCACAGCACTGGTGAGCACTTCCCTTCACATTCAGGTGAGCACTTCCCTTCAAGGAACATACCTTTTCATTCATCTTTAACAGAACTGTTAAGAGTTTCAGTATCAGGCTTAGGGAATATGCTTTTTATGAATACAATGTTGTTGATTAATTCATTACTATTCTTATATGTGGGCAAGCTTTGTGAAGCAAGTGGTTGTAATTATATCATAATCAATCATTTTGTGTTTTTCCAACATTTCATGTAGTTCATGAGGATGGCTTTCCAAGTAAAGCTAGTATTTGCTTTTGATATCTATAAGCAGTGTTTATCTTCATCTCCTTCAAAGATGATCATTACCATAGGACTTGGCGATGGTGGCAGCTGCCCTGCCTCTTCCCCCCTCTTTTAATCACCCGAGGGGTCTGGATCTGGAGTCAATGTGAAAGGCCCTGCACATCAATCATCTACCCTTTAAATCCATGCACATGTCTATATGCATGTTACTTAGTGCTATCCCAGCTGCCAGTAAGCTTGTGAAGACCCATGCTGGGTCATGCCCTCCTGAGTCCTAATGTTTGAAGCATTCATGTTGCTGCAACACAGACATCCAGCTTGTGTCACATTGCCAGGGGGTGGCTCCTTTTTCCAAGGGAGCTGAGATCGGGTGCCTGCTGATCAGCTCTGGGGATACCCCATCTGAGCTCTATGCATCAGATTTCATCCACTTTGAAAAGGACCTCTTGAAGATATAAACTTAATTGAATAATACCTCTTAGCATGGTGGACCTCTGGTTCTTCTTATTGTGGCCTCTTGGGCTGGCTGACATTACTTCATTGTTTTCAATCAGATGCCCTATGCATCTGATTGGGGCCCCTTGGAATCATCTAGACCTCCTGTCAACTATGAGAGCATAATGCTGGCCATCAAAGGCCATCTTAAGGGCAGATATTAGGTCTTGTGTGCCTTAAGGGGCTGCTTTTTTATTTGAAGGAATACTTTCTAGGTTATATGGCACCTTGTCTCAATGTGACAGGCTCCTGATATTTCGAGCTTGGGGGAGGGGGGACAGGGGCGACAAAGATGTGGTTGTTTCCTTTGCCAAATTAATAGGGGCATCTGTCTTTGGCTGCTGGCAGCACCACCCCAGCACGTTGTCAATTTAGAACCGTGCCCTTGGGCACAACCATATGCACCAGCAGCACCTGACTGTCGTGCCACTGCCAGGCCGACAAATCCAACGAGCCCCATGAGGAACAACAGTACCTGGACCTGATCCGTCGCATCATCGAAACCGGCGTTCAGCGCGATGACCGCACGGGAACCGGCACTCTCTCTGTGTTTGGCACCCAGATGAGATTCTCCCTTAGAGATGGTATGTGGAAATGCATGGCACATGTTAAGGGTGGTTGGTGGTGCCCTTAACTTCATTAATCATTAAGAGGAAAGTGGAAGCTTGCTCGTCACCTTACGTGCTAACCAGCTCGTGTGTGTGTGTGTGTGCCATGTACAGAGCCACAAAGATGTTGATGACGCCGACAGACACCCTGTGCGTGCAGGCCGTCTCTAGTGCGTGCAGGCCGTCTCCAGTGCATACAGGCCGTCTAGTGCGTGCAGACCGTCTCTCGTGCGTGCAGACGGTCTCCCGTGCGTTCAGGTCGTCTCCCTTACATGCAGGCCGTTTGCCATTCGGCTAGACCGTTTCCCTTTGATGCCGGTCGTTTCTCGTGCGTTCAGGCCGTTCCCCTGTGATGCCGGTTGTTTCTCTTGCGTCCAGGCTGTTCCCTCCTGATGGCGGTCGTTCCTCTTGCGTGCAGGTCGTTTCCCACTGCTGACCACGAAGCGCGTGTTCTGGCGCGGCGTGGCTGAGGAGCTGCTGTGGTTCATCCGCGGCAGCACGGACGCCGCCGAGCTGCAGCAGCGCGGCGTGCACATCTGGGACGGCAACGGCAGCAGAGAGTTCCTCGATCATCTGGGCTTCACCGACCGCCGGGAGGGTAAGGCCGCGCCGCCGCACCGCCCGGTGGCAGGGCCGGGGCAGAAAGAAAGCATGCGGGGGCACCCGGCCGGGCAGGGGATGCTGCATGTGGAGGTAGAGGTGATGGGTGCCCCGGGGAACGGTCTGCGTGAGCGGATGGCCGCTAGAATCAGTCCCATCTCTCGTCTCCTGGTTGAGGTGAACAAACTGCCTCTGTTATTCCGACGCGAAAGCTCAGCGCACGGTACACCCTAAAACTCGCACAGTTTGTGCACGTCTTACCTGTCGCTGCATTTTTTGCGTCATTTTCCCAACAAGTAGGCACAGAGTGCGCTGGGGTGTGTGCCAGCCGGACTAAATGTTTTGCATTGTCCCCCTTCTGTTCGATTTACCGCTAATCTGTTGCAATCTGGAAGGCGTTGGTCCCGGCGGAGAGCTACTCGAAACTCGCCCTTGCTCTTCCTGAGCGCCGTTTTCTGAATTCAGGCAGGCGCTGCCAGCTCACATAAGGACAGACTGGCGAAAGGCTCGGGATCGCACGAGCACCGATGGCCAGGGAAACGCGCGAAGCCAAACCTAGGTGAATCTCAGTCTCAGTTTTCATCGCGACAGTAGAGGGGAGGTTAGCCTCTGCCGCCTCGCATAGGTCACACGTCGGGACATGGTTTGCTCCTCTCGACGGGGCAAGTATCGTCATTCCCGCGCTGTGACCACGCGCTGCTCGTCGCTCATGTTCTCGTGCAGTGTCCACACTTGGCCAGCGAACGATATCGTCTCTTTGGTCGTGGCCTTGTGCGGCGTAGTTTCCGCGCTCACTCATAGGTGGGCGCGCCAGTGCTGACGCGGGAGCTGCTCTTACATGTCTTTACGATATTGACTTAGAGGTCATTTACTCACCGTCACAACATGTTTTGATGTCGCACGACCCTGGCTGGATGTACCCCGACGTACTAAGTTTACGTAAACCGCGCATGAACCGCTCGTTATGGTTTGCCGCCCCGCGCGAGATGCGCTGCAACCGGGCGTAGCACGCGCCTGTTGTATTCATTCCTTTGTTCCCACGCCTTCTTACCAATCAACTTGTCCTCTTGATACGCGATTCTCAAAACCGACAGCAGTGTTTTACAGCTGCATGCTTTACATGATGGGACGTGGTTGCACAGATGCACATATAGCCGCAGTTGGGCGTAGAAGACCGTTGCCGTCGACTCACCCCCTAAGCCCAAATAGCCTACCGTTCGCTCATATGACCACGCGTAGATGTGCTTGCCTTCGCCAGACGGCACGCTGTCAGATTCCTCGGAGATGCTTGGCTCCGAAATTGGCTTCGTCAGCCGATGGCTGCAGGATGATCTCTGCGGTGTCCGAGGGTCCTAGTTTCTTTCTCCTCTATAGATTGGCCGTGCCTACATTTTTGTCTTAGATATATACAGGGGCATGCATGAAATCATGCAATGCCACAGTATCAGCTGCGTTTGTTTCGGACAGGTCTAACTGGAACATAGCAGGTGAGGTTTTTTCCATGTCGCATGTTTTCGTACGATTTTACTAACATTCCCATCGGTTTTGCATACATTTACATCGTTTGAATGGACATGCAGGTTATGCTACGTGAGCTACGAGCTTTGAGACCAGATACAGCCATGTGTGTGCTGGCCCCCACGTGAGGCCTATAGGCGTGCGTCACAGGCCGAGGCGTTGTTGTTAACTGGCATGCAGGCTGATGATCCGTCCCTGCTGTGGTCCGTTCCGACCTTGTGACTGGCCTGCACTGGAGGTGAAGCCCGCTTCTGTGACTGGAGGTGGTTGGTCCGGTCCGGTCGAGGCCTGGTCCGGTTTGTCCGGTCCGAGATCTGACGAGTGGCGGCGGTGGCCAGGGGACCTGGGGCCCGTGTACGGGTTCCAGTGGCGACACTTCGGCGCCAAGTACCGCGGCCCCGACGCCGACTACACCGGCCAGGGCGTCGACCAGCTGGCCAGCGTCATCCACGACATCAGGTGGACATCCCCGGTCCGCCCCCTCCCCCTCCCGCTGTCGCCGGGGAGGGGACCGCGCAGGCGCTGGCGGCGTGGTTGTATAGCGCGCCACCGAACGGTATGCACTGCGTCGCCATGTTGCCTAGTCTCGCCCTGCATTTACCACTTCAGCAGTTTTCTTCAAAGCTTCCGTTGTTTGAACTTTTCTAACGTCTCATGTGTGCAAGTGTTGAAGGCATGCCGCGTTAAGAATTTCAGATAACCTCGACGTGATCAGAGCGTGGTCGATCTGCTACTCGGCACAACACCGTACGTGGTGTCTGCACCGCCTTCTCTGCGTCTCCTGCTCGTACTTTGGTTATCTCATCTTGTGCTCGCGGTCACGTTTCGTAACTGTTTGCCTTGCCCATATGTGCCATTTTGACGCCTCGCGTGTCAGAGACCCCTGGCGTGCTGTCGTGACCCTTCACGTGCCGCCGTAACCGCTCGTATGCCGCCGTGACCCTCCACGTGCCGTCGCGACCCCTCACGCGCCGCCGTGACCCCGCACGACCCCACCCTGACCCGCCCGGGCCGCCGATCCGCACAGAACGAACCCGAACAGCCGCCGCATAGTGATGAGCTCGTGGAACGCGGCTGACCTGCCGCTGATGGCGCTGCCGCCGTGCCATTGCCTGGCCCAGTTCTACGTGGCCAACGGCGAGCTCAGCTGCCTGCTGTACCAGCGCGCGGCCGACATGGGTCTCGGCGTGCCCTTCAACATCGCCAGCTACGCCCTGCTCACCTGCATGATCGCCCACGTGACCGGCTTGAAGGTGCGCACCGGGGGGTCACGTGACGCCCAGCTTGAGGCGGGTGCTGTATCATCTAACGTACCTGCATGGGTGGTGCCCACAGCTGGAGTGACTCGATCTGGACACCCAGTAATACCCTGTTGCAGAACTACGCGGAGGTAGCTGCTAAATGGTCTATCCCTACAGTTTTGTTGACTGGTACCTTCGCTACGTCGGCTAATCGTGGGTGAAAAGCACATGCCAGGGCGGTATCGGATTTCCCTGGTTTCCGTTGCTTTTATACTTGGCAGTACTTATAGACGACAAGTATTCATCAAGCGTCGTTGTACTATGGTATTCATAATTTTTCGTCACCTTGACTGTTCCACGCCTCGCTCTGAAGCTGTCGCGAAACGTTGCGAGTGATGTGATCGGGCGGCACTGTCGGCAGCCGGGCGAGTTCGTGCACTCCATGGGTGACACGCACGTGTACCTGAACCACGTGGAGCCGCTGAAAGAGCAGCTGGCGCGCGAGCCTCGCCCCTTCCCGCGGCTGCGTTTCGCTCGCGCTGTCGACGACATCCAGCAGTTCACCATGGACGACCTTCAGCTGGAGGGGTACGATCCGCACAAGAAGCTCTACATGAAGATGGCCGTCTGAGTGCACAAAGCTACGCCGGTCTGTGCTTGGAGGTGATTGTCTGAAGGCCTTAAGATCGAAACGGAGGTGGCGGTCAGGTAGATTTAGGTCTGGTGGATGGCGGGAGTTCAGGTTTAAGGGTGGAAGTGGTGGATTACAGACACGCACCAGCTGCTGGAGATGGCGATGGGGTGATGGCGGGGTAGGTGACCGCGAGTTCTCAGCAGACACGCACCAGATGCTGCAGATCGCGGTGGGGTGATGGCAGGGTAGGTGACCGCGGGTTCTCAGCCTCATAGATGGCTGTGAACTGATATTGAGAGCTAGGGACGGTGCGTCGACGAACGCTTGTGCGTAGTTTCAATTATGCGCGAACTTTCAGCTCACGTGCCAAAATACGGGGCATGCGCCTCCTTTGTGTGCTTAGGCTCTGCTCTCAGGATTTTTAAGGTTAAGTTTTAGGCCTAGCCAAAGGTTGCGACAGGCTTCAAATTTTCGTTTTGAAGTACTTGAGCTGCCCTCCTGACCTTCATTTTTTACGACCCGGAACCCGGTGGGAGAAGCTCCGAAGTATTCTCAACCTACACTACGTTGTGATATAAATAGGGGATGCTTTTTACCAGGCAACTTTTTGTACTTTTTATTCCTTTCTTCGAGGACACGTATCAGCCCCGCTGTACCTTATTGTCGAACAACATCTCTCCAAACCGCGAGCGTTTGCGCGGCCAGTCATCCCCAGTGTGCGTAACGTCTCGTGCCGGACTGGCGGCCGCATTGTTTTTGGTGTTGTTCGTGATGAATACATTTCCACGCTGCACAGTCTCTGTGAAGACTCGCTGGTCCTTGACATGGCCGTGACCGACACTAAGGACTCGTGACACTATTTCTGCTGTATTGTCGGGTCCCCGTTTGGCCTTATCATCGTGGCTGCCGCGCGCCGCTAGCGCACATGGCGCGGGATGTCATCATCGGAGCCCATTGAACTGAATGGTAACCGCGGAACACGGACTGCACTTTGAACAACAGTGAACAGAAAGCGCGAGCAACATAGATGGTGCGCGTGCCGGCCGGGAGCCGCTGCGGTCCGGACCTCTGAGACGTAACCGATCCTCGCGGTCCGGTCCGGTTGGGGTCCGTCGCCAGTCTCCCCATCTGGCTGAGCCGCAGCACCAGTCCTAGGTGGCAGCGCTGTCGACGGCGGCGACTCTGTGCCCTGCGGCGCCGCGGGGGCCGGGCTGGGCGGCGGCCGACGGCAGCAGCTGCATGTGCCGGCGGTACCACTCGGTCTGGGTGGCCAGCAGTGAGGTCATGCTGCGCGCGGCCGCCGCCCACCTGCCGTCCGCACGGGGTCAGGTCACCCTGACTGGTACGGCGCAGCTGCCCCGCATAGACACATGGCCCAGCGTGTGCTTACCGACGCTACCCAATATTTCACCCCGATAGGACTGCGCGTCATAATGCATGTCGTGCACTTAAAAACATCAGCAAAAAAAAAAACGCGTCGGGCACGAGAACTCCTCAGCCGCTTTTGACAAAAAGGTTTCCGAAGCACTTTCAGGAGCAGTTTTAATCAGTCCGTTTGAAATGACATGACGTTAAAGCTGTTGCACAAGCCGCGGCGCATCTCCGTGTGCAAAGATGCCAGAGTGGGGAAGTCGCGCCTGCGCCCCACCTGTCGGCCTGCTGGGGCTCGCCCTGCACGTGCAGCTGGACCGCCTGGTTCCAGGTGCGCGTCATCACCAGCAGAGTCTGGCGGGCGGCGCGGAGGAGGACGGCGTCACGTTACTGCCGGTGCAGCGCGACTCTCCGCTGGCTACACTCCAACACGGCCGTCGAGAAACGGCCCCGGCCGAACGACAGCTGGCGCCACCGAAACACGTCTCCGGTTCATTGACGTGTCGTGGAGACTACCACCAGCGAACCATCACAAACTGTACGGACATCCATTGAACACATCACTGCCCGCCATGTCGAACCAGCACCAGCAGCTGACCGTCAGATCGGCGTAACATAAGCGACTGGCCGCCATGTTGGGGTAGCGTCCCTCACTGAACGTCATGTTGGGGTAGCGTCCGTCACTGACCGCCATGTTGGGGTAGTGTCCCTTACTGACCGCCATTTTGGGAAAGCGTCCCTTACTGACCGCCATGTTGGGAAAGCGTCCCATGCTGACCGCCATGTTGGGGCAGCGTCCTTCACTGACCGCCATGTTGGGGCAGCGTCCCACACTGACCATGTTGGAGCGGCGTCCCTCACTGACCGCCATGTTGGGGCAGCATCCCTCACTGACCGCCATGTTGGGGCAGCATCCCTCACTGACCGCCATGTTGGGGCAGCGTCCCTCACTGACCGCCATGTTGGGGCAGCGTCCCACACTGACCATGCTGGGGCGGCGTCCCCCACTGACCGCCATGTTGGGGCAGCGTCCCTCACTGACCGCCATGTTGGGGCAGCGTCCCTCACTGACGGCCATGTTGGGGTAGCGTCCCTCACTGACCGCCATGTTGGGGTAGCGTCCGTCGGCCGCCCGGATGACGTCTCGCACCTCCAGCACAGCCCTCAGCGCCTCGTCAGCAGTCAGTCCCGGCGCGCCCAGCTGGTCCAGTGTCAAGCTGATGTACCTGCCGGTTCAAATCCCCTCTCAGGCTCAGTACAGGCACGATCGGCGCAGGCGGTGTCAACGTGGGCCGGTGCGTGGAAGTAATCTGTGCCGGTAAATGCCCCATGTGCGGCCGATACAGGTGCACTTTCTGAAGACATTGAAACTAAACAATCCAATCTGGAGCTAGCGTAGGACGAATCACCGCTGAGGACCGCTAAGATCCGCTATGGTGAGAAAGAGGAACTGGTGGTGAGGAGGGATGCCGTGGTGAGAGTGCACTCGCCTGGTCTGCAAGCGCCGCCAGCCTGTCATAGTCGGCCGTCGGGGCGCGCCGCAGCCGGTCAGCGGCGGCCCGCAGCGCCCTCACGGCCAGCGCCGGCCGACGCGGCACCAGGCTGGCCATCGCCTCCAGCGCGCCGGCGTCCACGTCCGGTCGGGCCGCTGCCGAGGTCAGCAACTCGGCCAGCCCGGCGCCGTCCAGGCCCGCCTGCCGGGTGTGTCAGGACGTCAGCGGCTGCACGGCGGGGCCGCTGACGTCGGCACGGCTACCAGGGTGCACTCGCTCCGGTTGGGAATAGCCACAGCACGGCCCCGCGCGGTGAGGACGGCGGGGCGGACTCGCACAGGGCGGAGACAGCCTCAACACGGCCCCGCGCGGTGAGGACGGAGGAGCGGACTCGCACAGGGCGGAGACAGCCTCAACACGACCCCGCGCGGTGAGGACGGCGGGGCGGACTCGCACAGGGCGGAGACAGCCTCAACACAGCCCCGCGCGGTGAGGACGGAGGAGCGGACTCGCACAGGGCGGAAACAGCCTCGACACAGCCCCGCGCGGTGAGGACGGCGGGGCGGACTCGCACAGGGCGGAGACAGCCTCAACACGACCCCGCGCGGTGAGGACGGCGGGGCGGACTCGCACAGGGCGGAGACAGCCTCAACACAGCCCCGCGCGGTGAGGACGGAGGAGCGGACTCGCACAGGGCGGAAACAGCCTCGACACAGCCCCGCGCGGTGAGGACGGCGGGGCGGACTCGCACAGGGCGGAGACAGCCTCAACACGACCCCGCGCGGTGAGGACGGCGGGGCGGACTCGCACAGGGCGGAGACAGCCTCAACACGGCCCCGCGCGGTGAGGACGGCGGGGCGGACTCGCACAGGGCGGAGACAGCCTCAACACGGCCCCGCGCGGTGAGGACGGCGGGGCGGACTCGCAGGGGGCGGAGACAGTCTCAGCACGGCCCCGCGCGGTGAGGACGGAGGAGCGGACTCGCACAGGGCGGAAACAGCCTCGACACAGCCCCGCGCGGTGGGGACGGCGGGGCGGACTCGCAGGGGGCGGAGACAGTCTCAGCACGGCCCCGCGCGGTGAGGACGGCGGGGCGGACTCGCACAGGGCGGAGACAGTCTCAGCACGGCCCCGCGCGGTGAGGACGGCGGGGCGTGATTAGCCGCGGTTAGTGCAGGCTCCCGTATAGTCAGCACAGCAGCAGTACTAGGCTTTACAGGTGAAGCAAGCGGTTAACGCATTATGATGTTAGAGCATCACATGCATACAAATCAAATCATACAAAGTCAACCGCACGGCAGCCCTTTACAAAGCGTGCTGGGAACAGCAGAAGTGCAGCACACATTGCTGCAGGGGAAGTAGCCTGAGCCAGAGCTGAGCGGCGCCGCGGCTGGTACCCAGCATCTCCAGCTGTGGGCAGCTGCTCTTGCGTCGGCGGCGACGGCGAGCCTGCCCAACATCACGCCACACGCGCACGGCCTCGTTACCTTGGCCTCGACCTGGTACAGGAGCAGGGCGGTGCCGTGCGGCCAGCCGGCGCCGCCGCCGCCCAGTCGGGCAGTCAGACGCTCACACGCGGCCACGCAGTCGAGCGCCTCCCTGCGGCGGTGACGGTCACCAACGGTCAGCCTCAGCTGGGCGACCACTGGGCTGTAAACGGGGCATGTGGCCCACCTGGGTGCAGACCTATAAAGTTAGCCACCGGGCCCTGTGCTTGGCCCCCTCGGCGTGCTTCCGTGGGACAGATAAGTTTCACCGCAGGCGCCTGGAATGCGGTTTAGCCGACCTTGGCTGCATCATTCCGTAAATTAATGCACTGTTTTACGGTTCGATGCGATCTTTCATCAGGCGACACAACGACGCCGTTAGCACAAGCTCGTCAGCTAAGTAACGAGGAGAGCGGAGCTGTCGGAGCTGAGTTGTAGCTCAGCTGGGCTGAGCTGAGCTGTCGGTGCGGCCGGTACCGTAGGTGCGCGTGTTTCTCGCGCTGCAGCAGGCCGGGCTGTCGAGCCGCCTCCAGGACAGCGGCGGCAGCCATTACGGACGCCGTGCGGCACAGGGAGAGGTCGGACGGGTCCTGCGGAATACAGGCAGGCTCGAGGTAGAGTCATCTCACAGAGCAAAGGAGAAGATCGGGCAGCCGGCAAGGCACAGCTTGGCAGAGAGTCGAAGGATCGTAAAGGGCGTGGGCTCAGAGGATCAGGGGATTCTGCGGAGCAGGCAGCCTGGGCGTGGTGGTCCTGTTGGTCCCGAGAACAGGGTTACATGCTGGTCCTGCAAGGCCGAAAGTTACGGCCCGGGCGTCCTTCAGCGTAGAAAGCGAAATGAAATGTCCGAGGCACCATACGGCACGGCGAGACCGCAAACAAGGAGATGTAGCATGCTGACGATGGCGCTCGGCAGCTTCGGCGGCAACTTCTGCGCTATGATCTCTCGCACACGTGACGCCAGACATGACTAGCATCGTTTGACGGGTGTTACCTGGGCAGTGTCCGTCAGAAACAGGCGGCTGAGGGTGAAGAGGCGGCCGCGCTCGGCCGGCTCCAGCTCGCTGTGCACGGCCACGTTCCAGGCCACGTCCGAGAACCAGCCGGCCGCGCCGCCATCGGCGCCCGGCTCGGCCGCCTGCCGCACCGGACAGCCGGGTGAACACTGGCGCCGGGCTCATGCGGCAGCGTATGACTGGACTGCCTCACACACGGACGGACGGCTCACGGGGTCGCGCTCGCCACTCACCGCGGAAAACCAAACATACGTGACGTGCCACAGCGGCCCGACTTCCACCCGCCGCCAGCGCACGCCGGGGGTGACGACGAGCCAGCACGTGGCCGAACCTTGTGCATGTGGCCGACCCCACAGACCTGGCGGCGCTGCACGAAGACGAGGGCCGTCTCTAGAGCAGCGATCAGCGGTCCGACCGGCGGCACGT